AGTACCCAATAAGCATTTAGCGCCAAATTTGTATAGGGGTTTACACATGAGGTCACCAAAATTCTAACTAAGGAACTATTGATTATTATTCTGAGTTTCTTCTTTCATGAGGTTTTCCAGCACCTGAAAACCTTTATTTGGTTTTACGATAGAAGACATAGAAGACGTTTGAATTTCCAGGCTTTTGCGTGACGCGGCATTTAGCTGACAGTATGGCTGGCGGCAAGGAAAGCTCTTTTGTGACTTAAAAACGTTACTAATTTTTTTGAGATTATGCTATCTATACATTCTTTTTCTTAGAATAAACATTAATTTGATCTTTATGAGTTCCTCAAGCGATGAATTCACACACAAATAGGAAAACTCAAAACCAGATGTTTCTCTTGGTTTCCCGCGGCCATATTTGTGCCCCGGAAAGGGACACCAACATGGCGTCTCCATTAGCTTGCGTTGCAGCCGGTCCATGCATTTATTGTCCTATACAGAGGGCTTAGAGCGTCTGCGACCAATTAGTGATAAGCAATTGCATTTGTTTCAACACATTAGTTCTGCCTCTACATTTCAAAATCCGTTGCCTTTAACATTGCGTTACAATTTGGCTGACTTTAGCATTTGGATCTACTCAGGGTGTTCTAAAAAGGACCAGTGGCAACCACAGCTCGAGTTTTCTCGTATTTGGATCCAACGAACAAGGTTGGATCGTCAAAGTTTAGTTTTTAGGGTAATGTGAATTACAAAGCCACGACAAAACGCAATTATTTGCATACCACAAGATGAAATGACAAAGTAGCGGCTTGTTGGGCTAATTCCAACTCAATCTAACTAGAACTGGGTTCTGCGATCGTTTGAATCAAAGCAAAAGAATCAAAATATGAGTTTTCTTTGATTAAGATTTCAAGGAAACAGTGAAACAAAGCTGGACTCGTTCTTCAAGTCAGGCCAAACTCACGGCAAGACTTTAGCCGGATTGCCTGAAATGTTTTCTACCGTTTTTTCCTCATGTGTTCACTTTGAAAGGTTACTGGTTAAACTGCATGCGTTAGAACTAAATAGTGAATCAAAACTAGCTCTTTTATGAAATGCTTGAGAAACAGATAGGCTGGATATGATTGAATTTTTGTGAAGTCAGGAGCCTCGATGAACCCCCGCCGCCTCCTTTTGATCGTAGAGATACGGATATTTGATTAGTTTTACATTCCTAGAAGTTTCTGCAAATGAAATAATATCAGGCTAGTTCTATTGGTTTTGAAATTTAAAAGATTTCAAGAATTTTGTCTGTTTTTCTTTTTGCTGATTGTTAAGAACTGAGAAGTGTTTATTTTCAAAAATTTTTGATAGAGTTTGAAGTCTTGCTGTTTTGCATTTAATTAAACTTTTGTGGAAATTTCTCATTACTCACGGACGGCAAGTTTTGTTTTGATTCCGGCGCCTCCAATTCTTTTGTCTGCCAGTCATATTATATGCTGCGAGAGGCTTATTACGCGGATGACGTAGTCAGCCAGGGTCTTGAATTCGGGAGCGCATTCCTTTCGTTTTCTTGGGAGTCAAAAATCGCCTTGTCTTTTTAACTTTCCCGTATCCCGTGCCCGTCCCGAAAAATCGTGTGATTTTTATTGGCTGCAACTTCAAATCACGTGGAAGTCAAGCTGGATTGCACAAGCAGAAGAAAGATACTGCGTCAGCAAAGAAAGAAGAAGTAAGATTGGGAAAAGTGAGCTTACATCGTAGAGGAAGACAAAGACTCAAGCTGTGCTCTAGATCTAATAGCGCAAGACTTGGCCTCGGGCCACTGAAAATATTGTCTAGGTGGCCCAGCCGGGCGACTTACTAGTTTTGGTTTCTTGATTTACAGTCAAAACGCTAGAATGTCTAGAATTTATTACTTGCGAAATCGTAGCACGCTCGGTCGCTTCGCGGCCTGAAAGAGAACGCTCCGCTAGCTAAGAAACTCTTGAGGTCGACTTGTATGTAGCAATATGTAGCATGTCTAGCAAAAAGCTTTAAGAAAATGTTGTTCAATCGGGCAGCGGGCACGCGTTGATGTTTAAAGGTCGTTTCACGTGAATTCACATGTAATAATAATAGGCTTTATTTAAAGAGGGTAAAACACTTAACATAGTCCTAAGACACTGATGACTCTGTGGCCCTCAAAACAAATTACAAATATAGATTCTACCATTAAAAACTATAAAATATACTATTTTCATTAATGATAATTTCTAAAAAGACTAAGATAGACAAAACAACATAACACGTAGCACGTAACATAATCCTTGGCTATGAACGTGACAAGCTTCACAGTTTTGATAGTAACAGCTTTTCAAATTAGGATGGCTCATTAGTTAGTTTTTCAAAACAAATTGCTACTTTTGCTCTGACAGGCGTAAAGTACGGTCGGCGACGCAAAACAATAGTTTTGTATTTTGAAAAATCGCTAAATAAACACGGGAGTCGCTCTTTTATGTTAATTAATATTTTTACTGTTTTTTTACTGTGTCTGCGAGGCTAAAACATAACTAAGATTGTTATTCCAGTAAAATGCGATGTATAAAAAAGAAAAGAGATGACAATTAATTGTGATTGTTTTAGAATCGGGTATAAATCTATAAAGTCCCGCATTGTCTTTCGTGTCGTGACATGGCATTACGTATCAACTAAAAATAAATACGCAAAAGCTAACCGAATCCAAAAAAATCATTTGTCCTGAACATTTCACATTTGTGGCACTTCCTTATCAGAGGCTAACTGGGGGATGTGCCGCTTGATGCGGCCGCATTTTCACGACTGGATTGACTATAATGGGGTCGTATTGTCAACAGAGTTACTAGAATTGGGTCACACATTTTCGGATTTTGGGGGTAAGAGAGTTATTCATATTTACGGTTAGCAAACGTACCAGGATATTTGTACTGTAGGTGAAAAGTAAAGTGTTCTTCATTCAGTTTATTAAAAAACTGGTCAATTCATTTTTTGATGACCTATTTAAAGAATTGATAAAGTAAATACATAAATAGAAAGTGACTAAGTTGGGATCGCAAAAATTACATATTTGTCCAAAAGTGACTAATATGGGGTCTACAATTGGCCACAGAATAGACTATAATCATGGTAGGGGCTCTGAGAGGCCAACGGCACATACCCAGCAAAAATTAACCCAAGTAATTCCCCGGGGGGCGCCCCAGTTTCGTTGAAATCATAACAGTTTTCCTGGAAAGCTCCACGGGATCTCAGTCAATCTTAATAAGCGAATTTTCTTTTCAACCTAAATCAAAATGATTAGTAAAAAGAATAGTGCCCTTATTTTTGACCCCAACAGACCAGAATCTTACTTTTCTATTTAAAAAACATGAAATATTCGGCGGCATTGCCCATGTTTCTCATATGGCGCGAAAACTTACTTACATATGACAACATGCGAGTCTTTTTTTTCGCACGCTCAGGAGGTCAAAGGGGTGTGATTTTTCATGAAAAAATATGACAAAATTCTGCTTGACTTGCTCAGAAAATAATTTGTTTAATTTTTTAATAATTAACTAACAGCTCACTGATTTATTAATTTCAGCGACCAACTCGGAGGCCCAGGCACCCTGGCTAAAATGATCTTTTAGGCCTGGGCACCCCAGGTACAATGCTTGGAGAGCCCGAAGGGCTCTCTGAAATGTTCCCTAGAGCACAGCCTTGCAGCCCTGTAGTTATTGGAAGTATGATACATTACATGCTATTGTTGAATGTGGAAGTGCATTTTTTGAGGACATTAGTGAAGGAATGCAAATTTTAGTGAACTACCCCATACTCCAGTTTTGTTTTGAGTAGCAAAGGAACCCTTGTGTGTAACTCATCTTCTAGTATTAGTCCTTAACAGAACATCTCTGTCTCTCCTATGCTACGCCAAAAGTGACAAAATATCAAAGATGCAACTTTATAATTTGCGATCATTTGAAAAATAGTAACTTATCAGCGGATAACTTCAAAGAAATACTTGACCTCGATGGGTCGGCTCCTGAGCCCGCGGTACTGTCAAGTGATACTGGTCAGCGCATACCCTATTTTGACAGCTGTCAATTGATCACAACATTGATGTCCAATATGTGTGCATTATCAGTTTTCCTGCGCTCCCGAACTAGAGAAAGTATGAGATTGAACATTGATCGCGATCTAGAAAAAACAATTAACCCGCGATATGGTCATGTGATACTGGCTAGTGGCTATCCTGTTTTGACAGCTGTCAATTGACCATATTGTGAATGTCCAATCTAAAAAATGCGGATTTAGCAAGACACGCCTGAGACACCCCTCCCTTCCTTTTGATAGTCTCCCCTACCCTACCCGTACAATCTGTAGACGAGTGCGTACGTACGTACGCTTGGTCAATCACGTAACAACCAAATGAAAAGATGTTGCCCATATTCTATGAGTATGGGGCGTGGGAGCCCTGCTAAAATGTATCTGTTAGTCCTTTTGGGTCTTTTTCCACGCTGAAATGGCAGATTTCCCTCCCCTTTCATATACTTCAACTAGAGAAATCATTACCCTTTTATATACTTGAAGCCTGAAAAGGTTAACCCCTTCCGGGGAGAGCCTCCTCGTTTTGGCCATTGTCGAGAGTACCTTCCCCCGGGATTGAAAGCTTTTGCGCGCTAGAAGTTCTTTTAATCCTGGATTTTAAAACCTCCTCTATGTCAAATATCATTAAGACAGGATCAAGTAACTCTTGGCTCTCCAGCCTGCGAGCAAGCTCTTCCAGGGTTTCGCCGATAAGGTTGTGTTGATTTAAAAGAATACACTGTATTAATTCATTTTAGTGTTAAAACTCGTTGAATGTAGTTAATTCTTTATAGTGGAAGAGTCACTTGATGTACTTACTTGTTCTTTTTTTCAGCGCTGGCTGAAGGCACCAGCCACAGGACTTGATACCTCACCGTTATATTTTGACAAGCCTAACGCGATTCAACTTCGCTGTGTACACAATGTTTTTTCCCTTCGAATGGCTTGAAGCAGCGGAAACATCAGATTCACAGTGGGAACAGTTAAGAATTGTAATCGAAGAGGCGGAAGACGATAGAAAAAAACTGCAGGATTTAAAAGAAAGTAATCAAGAACTATGTAAGACGTATCTTGACCGTCTCCGTCAAGATTTAGCAACTCCGGATGAGTGCAAATCAGTAAGAGACATTGAAAAACAACTTCAGGGAATTCAGGAAGACCTGGACAGGATACAGAAGAAGACTTCTGATGAAGTTGTTATTGAATTTGTAGGAGCTACAAGTAGCGGAAAATCGACGCTTATAAACGCCTTGACAAGGGAAGAACGTCTTCCAGCTGGCTTTGCAGAAACAACAATGTGCTTAATTGAAGTTTATACTACAGATGATGAAGAATGGAGTGTAGAAGTTAATGGCGAAACGTTGTCTGATAGAAAGGACAAGGAAGGCATAAGAGATCTCTTGACTGCGATGAGTAAAGAAGATGTCCGAAAAGAACGCAGTGATTTGAACATAAACGAAGGAAGCGTGGTTCGCGTGGGTTGGCCAAAGAAGTTTAGTAGACATCTTCCAAGAAACGTTGTCTTGGTTGATTCTCCTGGTTATGGCGAGGACGAGAATTGCGACCAAATTGTCAAGAATTCATGCCAAAAAGCGGACATAATTGTAGCTGTTATGGACTCAATGTCTCCATCTAAAGCGCACGTAAGTAAATGCTACCAATGTGTATGTGTATTTCCACCCCCTCTGTCAAAAGTGCCAGACCTGTCTACGAGGAGGCCGTTATCTCTTACATAAGCTCCTGTCACGACTTACGACCCGCGACTCACCCACCCAGACAAATCAGACAACTCACTATTTAACAATTATTCCTCGAGCCCGAATGGGATCTGAGTCAATAGCCCATGAGGCGGAAGGCCGAATGGGCTATTGACTCAGCGGGCGAGAGGTATAATCCAACTAGTTGGTCAAAAATATCGAGACAAAACAACTTTAGCTGACAAAACGCGATTCAGCCGCCATTGCTTTGGCTTTCAAAGCTGGCGCTTTTTGCTACTAGTGGGCTATAACATATAGCCTAGTAGTAGGTCAACCAATCAGAACGCAGCATTGATAATAGACCACTAGTTGGGTTTCACTAATTGCTATTATTCAACGAAAGAAAGATTGCTTTCTTTGAAGCACAATTATTCCCGCTGTGTATATAATGAGCCCGTAACTGCCTCGTCCCCAGTCGCTCGCGATCACTTTTTGGGGGATATAAGCCTTGCGAAAAAAGCCTGTGGAGGAGGTAGGGCCCGTAACGCGGAAGATAAGAAACTCCTTTAAATTCCATTACGCCGAGCCTGCGCGCTAATGGCATTGATGCATCGCAGCCCTTGCTTGGAATTGCTCGGTTTTTGCCTGACTCTTGGCCAGTTCAACGGAATTCAGTGGAAGTAACTTACAGGGCGACTACTATTATGTCAACTAACTTTGTCGGAATGTATTGTTATTTTCCTGCAATCCGACTGGTCAACTTTGTCTAAGTGGCCCTGGTTACAGTGGTCACAGTTTCACCTCCCCTGGCGGTGTTTGATGTCGCATACCCTCGTTATTCGGGATGCCTTTTGTCGTGGAAGTCGAATATTAGACTAATGTTTTTGTCCGACATAAAAACTTTCTTTGTCCATTGTACTTATTGCTTATGTTATGAGGGGTTTGTCTACACATTGATTTCTGTCTTATTTAGTAAAAGTTAAACTTTTCCTTTGGGAGAATCCGCGCATAATCAAAGACAGACCACTCTCTGGTCGCTTATATTAAAATTTGAGCATCGATCTTTTGTACTTTGTAGAAGAAATTCAGATGTAACAGATGAATCAAAGATGAACCTTACATTGGGTACAATTTGCTTCAAAACGAACGTAAATGTTTCAATTTAAAGTTCAAGCGAAGTGTTAACTAACTCATGTGTCATGTTGTTTTCGCTGTCCTGAGCGGTAAAAATGGAATACTTCGTGGAAAATGCGCGCGCACGGTATTTACGTCCGAGCTGTTAGGCTGTGTTCATCATATACATACTGAGCAAGAGAGAATTCTCATATTCTCTATTGTACTGAAACATTCCTCATTCTACCAGCCTTTTTATATTTTAAATATTTCGTAAGTGGTAAAAGATAAAATTTGCCCGCTTCACATCGCGAAATAATGTATCGGTCAAATCGAAGCTTCAACATCCCCCCCCGGGCAACCCCCCGGGCATTTGACTTTTTTGAAAATTATTGTTCAAATTCCCCCCTACCCGGGTCAAAGTGCCGTTCAAATGCCCCACACTAGGGTCCATTCAGGTGATCAAATGCCCCCACCCCGGGGACATTTCACAGGCACATAAATGACAGAACGACGGCAGAAACGCCTTCAGTTGTCGAACAAAATCTTTATAAATACAACAAATAATTCGCATTCAATATAACAAAAACTGAGAAAAACTGTTAGCGTATTTACTACCAACAAAAGTCTCGTGCAAAGCGGCGGAAATCGCTGCTACAAGGTCACTGAAGGCTTAGAGATTCTTCGTGTGTCGTGCAACATAGCGTTCTTTTAAAAAGTTCCACCTATTATGAGATTACTACATCATGACAAATTCACTGACATGCATCATCGCTCACCTTATTAATCAACATACATGCAGCAGGTCAAAGTAATTGACCTCTGTTGAGCTTTTTATTGTCGCATTGAATCGCCTGTATAGGTATTATAATTCGTTATAAACACAACTTAATACATTCATATATTCAAAGCCTGAATCCAATATTAAAAATATTAAAATTTAAATACCTTCAAATACGTCACAAACCTTGTAACCAATTGGCCACAAAAGCACAATCTTTTCCACGAAAATCCTCTAACACCGCGTCCCCCATGATAGCTCGCCACGCCAGAGATTTCACATGAAATCGAGGGTGCAGTTCACATTCCCCACCCCTAACGCATGGGGACCAATTTCCCCACACCCTGGAAGACTCTGATAATCAAATTTCCTCCTCCCAGGGACGGCAAAGGTGTCAAATGTCCGGAATATGCCCGGGGGGGGGGGGGGGGGGGGGGTTGAAGCTTCGATTTGACCGGTACATAACACACCGAAAGAAAACGCAGGGGTCCTTTGGAAGGCGTTAGCAAAATTTGTAAAGAACATAAGGAATGGGGGTCATTTAGAAATTTATAAGGGGGGGGGGGGGGGGGGGGGGGGGGGGGGGGGGGGGATGTTGAAGCTTCGATTTGACCGATACATAACATCACGAAAGAAAACGACGTCGTCCTTCGAGAGCTGTTAGCAAAATTTGTAATGAGGCTAAGGATATGAGGTAATTTAGAAATTACTAGTTGTCTTAACTTTTTCTTTTGAATTTACAGTTGTTGGCGGATAATGAATAAGCTTTAATAACAGAAGACAGAATAGTCCCTATCAAAAGTACAACTTAAGCTCACTTGTACTTGTTTTCCCTTTCTACTGCAGTTTTGCAAGCTCTCTACAAGTTTCTTTAGTGACAATGAAATATGCAAAGCTATTCTATTCTAATTTTCGAACTGTTGATTACTTTTCTACGAGGAAAATAAAGCGCTATTTTGGGAGATAATTATTTGACCGGTAGTGAGAAGTAAAGGAGGAAAACAAGTATACTATTTACACCGATCTCGCCCACGCTCCTATTGGGGCTTAAGGAAATCCGGCCGCCTCTTCCGGATCTCCCGTGAGATACAGACCCGAGATAGAGTAGGGTGGGATGAGGCGGGACGAGAGAAAACCAAACCATCCGAAAGAGGTGTCATGGAGCGGAGAGTGGGCAAGGAAAGGTGTAAAGCCATACATTTACACGGATCTCGCCCACGCTCCTATTAAGGGGTGGGGAAATCTGGCGGCCAAACTTGCGAACCATACCTTCCGAAACAATGCACTCCCTAAAGGAGAGACCACACTCCAGGACATCCAACCTCAAAACCTCCAAACCTTAAAGCCGCCAAACCTAAACACTCTAAAACCTAAGACCGCAAAGCTAACACAACGCATAGGAAGACCACCAAGCTTGGCACATCCACTAGATAGCCGGGAATCAAGACTGCAAACGATAAGCATATCGTCTAGTTGGAAACAAATAAACACATCAAGTGAGTGGAAACAACATAAACACATCGCGTAGCCGGATTTAAACAAAACATATCCGTCGACTGAAACAAGTCGTTTGGGTTTAGCGAAAAACAACGACAAAATATGCGTTACTAAACAGGCTATGAGGGAGAACATGTTAAGTTTCCGACGGCTAGAGCAAGAAACCCTTTGTACTTCGCCCAAAACAAAGGCAACATAAACACAAACAACATAGAAACAAATAAAGCAATTTTAAAACACCTTAAAAACAAGTACAGGGAACAACAAACTTTATCAAAATTGAAATCCCTGGTACTTAAAAACGCTCGACAGAGTCAGGAAACAAAAATTGCCAGGAAAAAACATCTTCTCTAGAGCTACAAAATACATCGTCATGAACAAGTCAGGGAGCAACAAATTTTGCAAATTTTAGTAATAAACTTGAAGTGGATGGTCGGAGGACAAGTAAACCCAATAATAAGTATCATCATCGACAACAACAATAATAAAAATTACAATAATAATTGTTCATTGTTAATGTTATTGAGGACATTTTATGATGATGATTACATGTATTTATATAAGGGCCACTCATAAAGGGCCACCACAATAACACAGAATAATGTACTTTTTATTTCCAACATCTAGGCATAACTTTATTGACACAATGACGTAATTTGATGTCATTATGAAGTCACGTTGTTGAATTTATTGGCCAAATCCAATTCCATAATTTTTCCCTCAAAGCGAATAATACTCAAATAGGGCGAATGCTTGGCTGGTACTGCGTCAATATGAGGTCTTGGATGGTTTATCATCATGGACATATTTTGGCGAAACAAGTAGCATACTTCAAAGCTCTAGGCCGCAGAGACACCTCAATATTTAGCTAGAGAGAAAGAACTTGTGGCAACAAAAGGCGAAAAATGTCTTGTTACAACCGTACATAGAAGATGGAACTTGAGCATAAACGTTCGAGACTGAGACTTTTTGTTGGTATCATTGTACAGTCGACTGTCTCTTAACAGACACCTCTATAAGACGGACACCTCTGTAAAATGGACACTTAGAGTTGGTCCCTACCTTTCTTTACTCCCTTTATTTGACTCTCTATAAGACGGACACTTAGTGCCGATCCCAAATGTGTCCGTCTTAGAGAGAGTTGACTGTACTTAAGAAAAAGCGCCTCGTTTTCTACAGATAATGGCCGAATGTCAAGATTGTCTATTTTTTTTACCGTATTTCTAACCATGAAACCTTCATCCCAAAATATCTCGATAACGCTCTAAAAAGATTTCGCTTAAACTTCACGAACATCGAGGCGGCTATTGGAGGAAAGAGCTCCCGTGAACGATTTTGAAGAACAGTTCCCAGTGCCGAAAAATACTGCTGCAAGTAAGAACACAGTAAATATACGAAATAAAAAACGTACAGAAGGAAGAAATAAAGGCAGAGGTGACCTTGAAATTAAAGGGTGACCGGACCGTAAACCTGTCGACGCGTGGCGACCTAAATCCGGATGCAAATCAAGATACTTAAAGACGGCCCGGCTACAGCAACGACCTTTGAAATTAGAGAAGATGGAACAAAAAAAGGAGGCAGAAAAGATGGGACGAACGCTAGTGAAGAGACAAGGAACAAGGATGAAAGGGTGGGAGGAGTTTGATGAACTCGTTTAATAAAGCTATTATGAAGACAATGAATGCATGGTGTATGTATCTTATGTAGTCATTTGGGTGAGACCGCTGTTAGTAGGTAGGCAAAAATCAGCCGCCTGCGCTCACGGCCTAGTCCACTTCAAGCTGGAACTGACGCCAAACCATTGAATTTCTTTCCTCAAAAACAACGGCATCCGATCGTCTAGAGAACTCTTAATGCTCTTGCTGAAGCGTAGCTCAGGCAATCAGACATTCTTTTTTCTTTTTGAGCTTGAAAGTCGGCGGATGAGCAACGAAAAAGGAAAGAAGGACCGCTTTATCGCAGGTTAATTGCTGCCTACTTTGTTCTTCCCCTTTAATAGGGCCTTTTCAGTGTTGTTAATCTTTTAGTTGCTGGTCAAATAATTATCTCGCAAATTAGCGTTCTAAACATGTCACAGTTAACAGACTTCATTTCGGTGGAACTTTTCTCGCAACATTTACATTCATTTGGAGCAAATTGTAACCTCTGTAATTTTCGTCTGCATTTCGGGTTTCAATTGCAACAACAGCCACCATACGAACGGAGGGTGGCCTTCTAACTATCAGAAACCAGTGTGCAGTAAAATAATCACCCCACTTATTTTAAGGTCACCAGATTAGTGAAAGAGGTGAACTGCCAGTATGCATTTGGTGTCTTCACAAAATGGGATAAAGTCATACAAGAGTATGAAAAGGAAAATAGTCAAATATCCCTGGAGTTTTTAAGGGACAAGAACACAAAGAAGTATCTAGAAAACGTTAACTCAAAGGACCGAAGGGCCGAGAAGGATGACATATTCTTCGTTGATTCCCAGCACGTGTTTAGAAAAATAGAGGTAAGCTTTCTTTTAGCTTTGAAGTGCCCATAGCGTTAAAGGTCGGTACACACTAGGCAACAAGTTGCAGCAACATGTCGCGGCGACACGTTGCAGCGACAAATCGCTTCGTGTGTACTGGAGAATTTTTGTGAAAACCTTTGTCGCTGCAACAGAATTTGTCGCCGCAACAAGTCGCACAGATTCAGTCTGATTTAATTTTTTGCGACTTGTTGCAGCGACAAAATTCTGTTGCGGAGACAAAGATTTCCACGAAAATTCTCCAGTACACACGAAGCGATTTGTCGCTGCGACGTGTCGCTTCACCTTGTTGCTGCAACTAGTCGTCCGACCTGTGCACACGGAGTGATCTGTCGCCGCGACGCGTTGCAGCAACTTGTCGCCTAGTGTGTACCGACCTTAAAAGTTTTATTTCTTATTTGAAAGTACCAGGTGAGAGTAATAGGTGGTTTTCATGCAATCTCGGGAGACACAAATAACAATGGTTAAATGAACAAATGCTGGTGGACAAACAAAACGAGCTAATGAGCGATCTTTTGTTTACCGTCCACCAGCATGGCAGCGATGACGTAACGTGAAAACCACCTATAGCGGAGCTATCGCGCGCGAAGCGCGCAGCGGAGCACCATGGGTAAAAAAATGTGGTAAACTACCCATCCGAGAAAATTTGGTAATCACGTGAAAGTACACCAACCGCCCGCCCGCCCGACCGTCCTTCCGCACCACAGGCATACCAATGTAAAATAATTCAATCAACAGGTATGGCAACCCAAATGCAACTCAAGGTTTTATATGGAAAGAAATCGCATGACCGCCCGGACTTTTAGAAAGAAAAAACAACAACAAAGTCGTGTCTTTTTCGACGTTATTTTTGATGTTTACACTCACGTGGATAACAGAGAAAGAGCTAGAGCGAGTGATTGAAAACAAAAGAGACGAATTTTGTAGGAAGAAAAACATGAAAATTCAAAGCGGCTGCGAGACATTCAGAAATGCTAACAGTTAGCTAACAGTTAGCGGCAGTCAAAAATAAAAGCGAACATGAACACAGGAGAAAAAATATTGGGTAAGCACATACGACAATTCCTCCATAAAAATAATGCGTAACTAGGAAATTTGACGTTTTAGTCCTACAAAACAGCGTTGTAGTTGTGCAAAACAACGGCAAAGAAAGACAAAAAGTGTGCTGCACGTGCAATTTGTTTTTTTGCTAGTTAGATCTATTGATCTTGGTGCCATTTTCATTGCCCTCCCCGTTTAGCATTACACGATTTAATTGTATTATTAACCAGAGCTTCGCTTTCAGCCCCGGACTAAATCTATATATTAGTTATATTTTGATTATTATTTTCTCTTGAAAGTACACCGTGCTACGAGGACCTCCGCAAAAAAAGAAAAAATGTGATTTGAGGTTCTCGTAGTACTACTTACTTTCCAATAATAATAATAATAATAATAATAATAATAATAATAATAATAATAGTAATAAGTAATGGTAACAGGACTGAGTGGAGTCCAATTTGGTCTGTAATCATACGAGTGATTAACAAAATCGGACGAACGCGTAGCGGGTGTCCGATTTGTTTAATCACGAGTATGATTACAGACCGAATTCGACGACACAAAGTTCTGTTACCAATTAATCATAACTTTAACAAAATTTGTGATACGATAGCCTATTTTTTAAATCAAAACACAAGAAATTCGAAATTTTGCTTTGCTAGCAGTGAAAAAAAAAGCCATTTAAGCGCGCGCGTGATGGCGCGTACTGTCCAATTACTTAGGCATGACGCGTACTGTCCTATTAAACTGTCCAATTAAGGCTGAAATCAGGGCAGTTGATAGCCAATCAGATTTGACAATTTTGTTATAGTTATGATAATAATAATAATAATAATAATAATAATAATAATAATAACATATTTTTTTAATAATCAAAAAGCATAATTAATTAAACTCTTCTCAAATTGAAAACTAAATACAAATTTAGTATAACTATAGATAAAAACGACTTCTTGGTGGTCTGGTAGTTTTCAACAGAGCAAATGTAAACAACTGTTTATAAACTCAAAAACGAAAATTTCTATGTACATCCCAATAGTAAAGTATCTATAGCTGTTGAGTCTAGGGAAGTCCTGCTTTACCCTTCTCTATTTCTAGATCCCTGTCCTTAACATCTAAATTCCTCCTTCTCGGGGTTCTCGATCCCCTTAGGCATAGGAGCGCACTCCGCAAATAATAATAATAATAATAATAATAATAATAATAATAATAATAATAATAAATAACTAAATAGATAGTTTTTTATGACTCCGAACAGTCCTAAAATAGAATTTGACTTGTATTAGCAGCTTATAATATAAATGCAGAAAGGATGTTTGCTTATTCGTTATCCATGATGCCTATTACTTGCGACCTTGAAGATAAGCGGGAATCGTAAAGCTTTGCCCCGCGTGACAGAAGCTAAGAGAAGAAAAACCGAAAATAGAGGTGGACCACTGGGAAAGTTATGGAAGGAGGTTGGGGGTAGGGGAAATTTTCGAGTCGCATGATTTATTTCCGTTAACATTTCCCTTGCAAGATGTTTTTTGTCAAAATGCATACACGAATTATAACATAGCGCGCGTGCTTGCCGTATATAAGTCCTATTGAGCCGCCATGAACAAATTCTTTATTTACGCACGCCCGTGCGTAAATAAAGATTTTTTTCATGATGACGTGTTCAGCTGTGTTTTTCGTCTCTTTTCCTAAGTACCCAAAAAGCGACGCCAGTGATGAAAAACTTTCTAAATTTTTTTTGAAATTTAGCTTCGTTCTAGCCATTCAAACCAACAGCAAAAGCGGTGAAGATGTTTCGCCAATAATAGAGCCTGAATGATTTCGTTGAAAAAAATTGGTCTGTGTCGTAAAATATCCAGTTTGTATAAAGTGTCCTCACAAAACAAGTTAATTATAAGTAAGCTCAATAAAAACTTTTGCACTTTTGTTATCGCCGAACAATCCTACTGAAGCAGGAAAACCTCTCTTGCAATAACAAGACAAATTACAAAAGAAGACATAAATTTATTACTCACAAAAACAACTGCTGCCAGGTCTTCTCAAGAAGCCGTAATGACCAGCCTATGTTGGTAAATGAATATACGTTTAACAGTCCGGAATATCCCTAAATTTAAGGACAGGGCCAAGTGGTCACGCGTCATTGCTCAACCAATCAGAAGGCGCGCTTTTGTTTTGGTTCAGATAAAAACAAAAACATCGCCAGACTGATCAAAACACGACCAAAACCAGTGTTTAAAGAAGGATGACAGTCGTGTTTTCTGGATTTCGCCGAGCAAAACGTAAACATCTTTTCAGCAAATCCACGACTAGCGAAATGGTGCAAAATTTACAAATTCCACATTCATTCACAGTTAATGATTTCATTCTTGTTCACGAATACATTCATTCACATCCAAATTCACATTCAACGACATATTTCTTAGTTACGAATATATTCATTCCAAGAGAGGATAAAGGGGACAGAGAAGGCATCCTCCATACACACTCTATTCCATAGGTAATTCGTCTCGAGTTATTTTTAAGACCACAGATCCCAAAGGGGATTAGACAACAGCCAATCACATAGCGTGAATGTGTTCCGCGTGGATGACCCCCACTCAGAGCCACGCTTCCTTCACGAATTGACCCAGAACAAAATGGCGGAAGACGCGGAGAGCGACATTGCTATTCGTTTTGTCGACGAAAACGACTACAGCGAGATTTCTGCTAAAGCTGTGTTACCGAAACGGAAATTAAAAAAGAATTGCCCTTCCTCTCTTGTATAGAGCCAACAGTACAGCGGGGAAATCCTAAACACACTGATTATTCTCTCAGGATCATTTATAATTTCTAGTTTGAAGAGAGAAATTTCTGGTTTGATATTTATTCTTTCATTAGTCTTTTATTATTCAACAAAAATAACACTTGGTGTCCTACTTGCTTTATTGTACAAACGACCGGTTTCAATAGACCGGCGAAATTTCTCATTTTTTAAAGCACTGAGGTTACGACAACTTCGAGTTAAACTGATTCCCTTTTCCCAGGTGAGCGCCGACTCATTTCGCTTCAATATTGAGGAATGCTCTCGATCTCTTTACGCTTTCATTGCCTTTCGCCCGACATGTTTTGCACGGCGTTTAGCCATGCGAAACCTCCACGAAACATCCACGCACCGCGCGAGGTTACTTTATCCCGATTCTAAAAATAACTCGAGACGAATTACCTATGGAATAGGGTGTGTATGGGGGATGCCTTCTCTGTCCTCTTTATCCTCTCTTGATTCATTCATATTCCCAACATATGTTCATTCACATTCAGGTCCAAATTTCTTGTTAGCACCGTTGCCATATTTCCGGCCTAGCTAATTGAACGTTCGGTAATCGAACCCAATCCAACTCCTTTTGTTCGATTGACTTCGATTGGGCGCGGCAATCGAACTTAATCGAACTCACCCAAAAATTTTGCCAATCGAACACAATCGAACGTTCGGAAATCGAACACTGCAACAATCGAACATAAAACCAGTTTTATCTGGTTTCCAGCAAGGCGTTGCGTGTAAATAAGTTGGCTTCAATTTCAAACACGAGTACGCAAAGCTGTCACAGAGGGCGGAAAACGTGAAAATTGTTAACAATTCTGGAAGCGAGTGCTGTGCAGTCCCCGAAATGATCCCCATGTCTCATACATACATACATATTGGAGTCTTATACAATAAATAGTATATCAGTTCACATTGAACGATTTAATTCTTTTTCACGAATATATTCATTCACATTCAAGGTCAAATTTTTTATTCACCACTGTTGCTATATTCATTCAACATTTTGTGCGCATCCCTCTTTACGCATCATTGAATCCAAGGCTCCTGCATGCCTCTGGAAACACGTTTTTTGAAGACACTATGATGCCAAACAACGTTTTTCTAGTCTCAATGGATACACCCTGGGGATACTCAAGAACGTTTTATACGGGGAGGCTCCGCCAGGAAGTCCAAC